TGAAACTGCGCATCCCGAGTTCTGGTGACGGCTCAGTGATCGATGAGCTGCCAAGTGACGTCCTTCGCATTGACGGGCAATAGAATCCGATTCAGCGTCTAGACTCTACGAACAGCAGTAATCTCGGATTCTCGTAGCGCTGTGTAAGTTTAATATAACATTACGTGAGAAATGTGAGATTGAAACAGACCCATTGTTATCTAACATTGGCCTGTAAATTACAGGTATTTTAACATGACGTCACCGGCGTTAACATACCGGTAATTTACATGTTAGAATCGAAAATAACGCGTGAGATAGGTTAGAAATTCGCTAAGAAGGTCCCCAAGGTGGAGGACTGGTCTGAGTACTAGGGATTCGAAAATTTTAACAGCTCCGCCGAGGCCGAACTGTCCAGCTGAATATATTCTTCCATAGCAGACTAGAAGTTTGGGCCACATATCTGCTTATGAATTTTCGGATAGCATAATGCATATCATAGCACTCAATTCGATTCTTGTTGTCGTTGAAGTTGATTAATGATGGGCCGAAGGATTGAGACAGTTTCCGAGTTTCTCACCAATTAATTACATCCACCTCCAGCTCCCCGATGTAAGAATTGTTAATAACGTGTTAATAACACGTGAGAAACTTTCTGTTATTTAACCCAGGCTGACTTACACAGCGCTAGATTCTCGGCAGAGGCGTCACCACGCTTCGTGAAACCTCAATCCGTCGAAATTGCTGAAGCAAGACCTTCGACGTCGGCAAGGGAATGGGACAGTCCTGCCGACGTGAAACAACTGTAGCTGCCGGAGCTGCGGAGAAGAGCAGGTGCTTGATCATCGATCAGCGCTTATTTCTTTGATTCCGGTCCGAACGACGGGCCGATCGGGTCGAACATGTTGAACTCCAGTGTCGCGCGGATGATATTCAGCGTACGGGATTATCGAGAGCTGACTTGTGGAATTCAGAGTCTTCGTGGGTTCTGTACTTGAGCATGCATGCCGTCCTGGGCCGTCTAAGGCAGAGCGACTTCTAAATAGGACCTAAGGAAGTTACCGCTTCAAATCCCGGTAGAATGAGATGACAGACGAAAATTTATTTTGGTTGAGGTTGAAGTCGATGCGGATTTACATCTAGGGTTATAATTCAGCCCATGGATTTCCGCGCCAAAATACGGGGATTACTTGGATGAATCAGGCTGTCTCAGGTCTGTGCTATCGTAGCACTTCGATTAACTCGGAATCCAAACGACGCAATGGCAGCGACGAAGAGCAAAGTAAGCCGAAAGACCAGAAACAGAAGATTGGGTACTGGGTGAACGGAAAATAGCGCCTGACAGATAAGAATGCAACATTGAGGGCCTGAACAGCAGTAACGGAGGGTGAGTTTCTGCGAGGCATCCTAGCTTAGAAATTTTGTCAAAGCAACGCCGGAATGTGGGAAAGGGCCAACTAACTCCAGAGGCTGAATATCAGATAAAGTGCGCCGAGGATGGGATGGGAGCATTCTTGTTGAAAAGGCTGCAGGCGGCAGTCGCGAGACCCAGGCCTCGGACGCACGCTGACGTGGTCCAGGATCTTCGCTGGCATGGGCGCGTCGGCGATGGAGTTGAGCTGGAATCTGGCGTATGCGGGATTCTTGCGTGCGGGTCGCCCAGCCCGGGAGGGTCGGGGAATCCAGGCGATGCGCGTCGTATACAAAGTCAGCCGCGCGCGCGTCGACGTCTGCTGGAGGCGCAGGTTTGGTATGGGAGGAGAGAGGCGCACGGTCTTCACGACGCGACTAGTCCGTGCGATGGTGGCGGGTGCGCCGGTCATTGTCAGGGAGGAAGCGGTGTGTTTCGATTCGTGTGTGTCGGCACGGTGGACAAGTAGTAGCGAGATGGTGGGCGCACCGGTCGGCGGAGGCGCACGACATCTATGAAGCGGGAGTCAGTATGATACGGATTGGTATGAAAAAGGAGGCGTAGAGGTGGCTGGAGAAAAAGTGAAATGGTGGGACACGAGCGAGGAGAACGCAAACTACGCGTGCTGGAGCCAGGACAGGCGCGAGATCGACGATGATCGCAAAGAAAAGTATATGGTATGCGACCTGGCACCAGAATAGAAGCGCGATAGACGTGGACAGTAAGAGGCGTAGTAAAGGTCGAGTGTGCGGAGGAGCGGTCCAAAATGAAGCAGAAGACAGACGAAATAGGCACCCTGAGAAGCCCTTCCTTGAACAGCCGAACCGCCCTTTGGGAGAGAAAACGGTATCTGGGAGTGCGACGAGCTAGAAGAGAGAAGTCAGTCAACGTGAGCTTAAGTGGCAGGGATGGGATTATCTTCCTGCACAGGGCGAGAAGACCACATCGAGAGTCTCGCGGCGCGAGTACACCCAGTGGTGGCCCGCCTCGAGTTCATCGCGTTATCTTAGGTAGCTTGGACGCAGGGATTTGGCAGGGATCAGAGGTTGGAACGGTGGCGCAGGCAAGGACCTTCCATATCGGGAAGGCGCCCTCGCCATCGTCAGCGCTGTCCGTATACGTGGTGAACGAAATGCAACGAAATGCCGTCTCTGTTCGCATCCCTCCTGCCTCCCACTCCTGGTATCCAAAATTCCTAGAGAAATGCCTCAAGATTCATCGTCGGATCCTGTGAAAAAACGCGGCCCGCCATCCTTCAGCGCTCAAACTTGGTCGGATCTACGCCGCCCTCCTTGCACCCAAGCTCAAGTCGACGAAGTATGACCCCAGGCCGCCGAGGTGAAGCGGGCTCAAATGTACACAGATGTCTGCAGCACGATTCCGCCGACGCGTGCGCGTTTGCCAGCCTGAGACTGAGGTGCGGTCGATTTTAGTTTGGGTGACACAGTGGTGGGCAGGATGGGAGGGGAGCCGCACACGGGAAGCAGCGCTGGTGCACACAGAAGCCTGTACGATACCGCCGCCGCCACTTCTGCCAGCCTGAGCGGTCGAGTTTAGGCGCCAGTGCAAGCCTGATGAAAGGACACCTTCCGACTCCGCAGCGATAGCGGTGAGGCCAAACGCTGTATCCCAGTCCCAGTCCCTCGCGTAGGGATTGGAGGGTGCTGTCACGACTGCTTGACGGCCGTTGATGAAGAGGGACATCCGACTCGAAACTTGGGCTCCGCGCGGAAGCGCTGAAACCCAGTCCGTCCCAGTCCATCGCGTGGAGGATGCAGCCGCTGGCGCTGGTGCGAAAGGATGAAGGTGTCGACAGTGGGGTGGTGGAGAGCGCGCCAAGCGATATCGCAGTGCCCCGGCGAAGACGTTCCAGTGCGCAGGCTACGGAGACGGTGGGTTTCCTTCCCTTTCTTGCCCGTTTTGCACACCGCTGAACATGCCCAGGAAACACACCGGCGAACGGCCCTTTGCCTGCCACTGCACCAAGTAGTTCTCCCGTCTCGACAACCTCAGACAGCATGCCCAAGTAAGTGCCTACCTCCTATCACACACCTATACAGGGACTGACCGACGCCGTAGACAGTGTATTCGTCCCCCGAGGACAAGCCCCTCAACGAGCGCCTCGCGGGCGCCAATGCGAGTATGATGGTCGGCGTCCGCGGCCGCCGCTGCTTCGACTCCTCCTCGCCCGCGTCCACGCCGTACACCACCTCCGACTACCCGCTCCCGGTCCCGTCCCCGCCCTACATCGCTTCCGCCTCCCCGTCCTTCCCCCTGGCTCCTTCTCCGCGTCGTCCCCCCCTTCGCCTCGCCGCCGCTCTCCCGAAGGCGGGAGCCCCCGCCCTACACCGCGTCCGCCTCCCCGTCCCAGTCCTCCGCATACGCCGCCGCCGCGCAGTACTCGCCCTATCCCTACGATGCCGGCACGGAAGACTACTTCGCCGCGCGCAGTGGGGTGCGCATCAAGCAGGAGTTGCCTGACCAGGGCGACCTGGAGCTTCTACGCCACGCTCGAGGGCCACACCTCGAGCAGCTCCCTATCCTCGCGCTTGTCGTCCTCGGACCCCGACGAACGACCCGACACGGCGATGCAGCGCCTGCGCCCCGCGTTCCAGCGCGCATCCGCGTCGTCGTCGAGCGCGAGGAGCCCATGTGTCCTTAACGCCTCTTTCGGGAGCGGGCGGGAAAAGCAACAACAGCACAACATCTGCCGAGTCCACGCAGAGTCGCCGTCGTACTACGGCTTTGCGCACCACCCGCACCAGCCGCAGCCGCACCACGGGAACGGAAACGGGGTTAGAAAGCCAGGACCAGCTGTACGGCTGGCTCGAGGGCGGGGCCGTCGGGACCGTGGGCGTGGGCGTCGATTCGATGCCGGCGGCGGTGGAGATGAGCAACGCGCGGTATCACGCTGCTCTCCAAGCCCAAGCCCAGGTGCAATCCCAATCCCAAGCGCAATCCCACTCTCCGTCTCCTCAAGTTGGGCACGCGCACGGACACGCGCACGGGAGCGGACCACACCCCCACCCGTCGGAGTACTTCTACATGCGCGCCGGGGCGGCGGTCTTCGTCTGATCTCCTCTCGGGCGGTCCTCGCTTGATCTTATCCCATCCCCTCTCCTCTCCTCATCTCTCTCGATCATCGACTGCTGCTGCTGCTGCTGCTATCTTGTTCGGTACGCCCGCCTTCCCTCCTCCCCTCTCATCCCTCATGTGCCGAACTGACTAAGCTGTGGGGGGTGTGCTGTCAACCGTTATCGCTATTATGCGTGTCACCAAAAACCCTGACGGACGAACAAAGAAATTGAAACTGAAATCAAACGACGGTCTTCCTCCCTGATTCATCATCTACGTCTCTGCGTATATTTTAATACTTGTTTTTACTTCTCCTCAATACATCAGTTCTAGCCGCCCACTACTACTTCCGAACTTCAATTCAACCCCTCCAGACTCCTACAGAGGAAGTTCGGAAGTTTTAGTGTCGGGTTACTCTATCACAACTCCGCTACTCTGTCTTCCCTAACCCCGCAACTGAGGCTGCGTAGGAGACTGATATCAAGTCCGTTTTACTGTACCTATATTACTTTGGGTTCGACCTCTGGGGGTTGAAGACCTAGTGGCGTAGTGGTTTCGCACCCACGTTGTGTTCACACCTCTTAAGCGATCATCTATGGTTCCTCGTTCGACTCGAGGCTAGGTTATAGGCATGTCCTGTATGAGACTTTTTTCCAGTATAGACATGGGTTTTGAACACTTTTCAAGCACTTACTCGGTAAGTAATACCTACCTTCGGGTTCGACCTCTGGCACAAAAGATCCAGCGGCGGAGTGATTTCTACACCCACGTTATGTGTGTATGGGAACCAACTTTTGTGGGGAATCCTCGTTTGATTCGGGGCTGGTTATCAGTAACATGGGTGTATCTTTTAATTTGTCTTGTTCTGTTTTTTTCAACCTGGGCCTCGCACTTATTCGAGATCCGCGGTGAACTGGGATTCGACCCTCTGAGGATGGTTTGAAATATTGAATGGTAGGTAGGTAGTGGAATTGAATCCAGGACGGGAATGCGACCCAGTGGCGGAGTGGCTTCCGCGCGACCCGTGTTGATAAAGTCCTTACAACCCAGCCCCGAATCGAACGGGGAACCCCCACAGATTTACTGTATCTGCTTTTTTTGTGATTCACCTTTTCTAGCGGAGGGGCATGTGTTGTTGCGACCTGAGGTACAGTTAGTCTCTGTAACAGAATCGATATACTAGTGACGATCATGTTCAAGGAACCGGGATTTTGAACCTATGAATCGGAGGACAGTACCTAGCCTTCTACGTCCGTCATGATCAGTACCAGCACCACAAAGCTTCACAGAGTCGGTCCGTCAAAGCTATTCTAACGTGTCACGCACAAAGGGATATGTTGAGCGAGGTACGCACCACATCCCTCGAGTTGAGACTGGGAAAAAATGGCTAAATGCCCTCATAGACGTCCTGGTCAATTTCTAACTCCACCACCAGCGTAGGAAACATGGGGAGACTCGACAGTTTGCCGTCGAGAGTTGCCGCGTTATCCTACACAGATATCAGGGATGGCACTTGACTTCAACAAAAGAGGTGAAGATCCGTACATTCACCATGATGTCGAGACTATGGATGCTTTGAACTACTGGCGCAAAATGTAGCCATGGAACTTACGCCCGCCAGCCAATGGACAGGAATTTGAGTTCGAGAGGTCGGACTGACATGAATTCTGCACGAGCCTATAGTCGACCATTTGGGTGGAAAGTATGTTCAATGACTCGAGTGAAATCTTTCGGGGAGGTGAAGTGGTTGGGTTCGGCGGGTCGATTCTCCGAGTCATTAACCGGCCGTCTGTGCGACAGGAAAGGGTGATATCCTTGATATCCGGAGAGCAACGATCCCATAGGCGGGCAAACTCAGTCCTCGCGGCTCAAAGAGCATTGGAATTTGATGCACCAAAGAGAGGGGAGGCTTAACAGCTGCTGGAGCACCGACACAGCAGAAATCGGACGAATGTCGCCATGTAAAATCACCACAGTGGTTTTCAGATGTGTGAACTGGAAGGCGCAGATCCTTGCCAGCGTTGCAACCGCTTGCGGGCTAAGCTGGATATGAATATGTCGAATATCCTGAATTGGATGATTGGAAGAGGCCAGCATGTCTAGAACCCATCCATCCGATATGAATTCTAGTGGATTTGCCATATTTGGGCCTCTGGGCCTCTGAATAGACGTTACTGCGCCGCATGGACCCAAAGCTGCGAAACCAGAGCAGAGAGAGCATTCTTGTTGAACAGGCTATAGGCTGCAGTAGCGAGACCCAAGCCCAGGACGCACGCTTCGTTGAAGCTGAGGTGGTCCGGGATCTTGGCTAACATGGGCTCGTCGACGACGGAGTAGAGCTGGAATGCGGCATATGCGGGATTCTTGCGTGTGAAGGCTCGGCAGAGCGCGGTAACTCGGTCGCCCGGCTTGAAGCGCGTGTTGTTCGGTCCGACGGTGTGGACGATGCCTGCAATGTCGTTGCCCAAGACGAACGGATAATTCTCGGGCTGCAGCAGCAGGCCGCGTTTCCAGACTACGGCGTCGGCTGGGTTGAGGGCTGCCGAGTGCACTTGGATTACAACTTCGGTGCCAGTTGGGGTGGGCATCGGTGCGGGACCGACCTCGATGGCGGCTTGGGCAGCTGGGAGCCAAGCTGCTTTGTTGGGCGACGCGGCGTCGGTAGACATTGTGCGAAAACTCGAATTGTTTATCGCGAAAAGGGCAAAGGGATTCAGCTTTTAAGCTTGTTTCGGATAGTTATCCGACTCGGATGTGCAGCCGTGACGTCCACAGATCTGGTGATGGGGACTTGGGATCCTGTGATTGAGACTTGGTCGTGGTGAACACTCGAACCTACAGGTACAAAACGAGGTAAGTTAAGACTTCGTTTGCCGCTACAGCTGGCGTACATATATACTGCACTGGCAAAATCGCACAGGGTCCGTTGCATCTAGATCCATATTAAACATGTATTGTCCAGCACAAGATCATACCAAATCATACCGTGGATAGGTATCCGACCCCTCTCTCACGACTGCCGCTTGACGATCATGCCAATTCGGTTCGTCGACGATGCATGGGCCATTGGGAGTGCATGAGTTTGGGTAGCCACCTGCAGGTTTTCCGACGTCCGCGTCCGCGTCCACTTCCTGCACCGTTGGAATATTCATCAAACCGAAGAAGGTAGGACCAGAGTGATGTCGCGACTGAGCGTATTAGCCCAAGCGCCCGATTTCGATGGCAAAGTCCCAACAAGGAAATGCCGTGCCTCGCGTCCAATCCACTGCACACACGCCGAGGGGCCACAACACCCATCCTCTTCCCAAAGCGGACATGCTCACGAGACGCAGCTGGAGGCCTACACATACACGTCCGACGCCTCCCCTCATGCACGCCCAATGCACTCCGTACACCACCGACTCCACCACCAGCCGCGGAATCGCAGGCGCCCACCTCCACCTCGGGGTGCGGCAGCTCGACGTCGTGGAAGGTCAAGCCCTCTTTGCGACTACTAGGGCCTCATCATTAGCCGGCTCACCACGGCCCACTCAGCACAGTCTCGCTCCGCACTACACCACCGTACCCCACCCGTGCATGCACAGTAAACTCTACTACCGGCGTGGAACGTGGAAGGCACGCGCACGCGAAGACGTCGCGTTAACCCTTCGGCGAAACACTGTGCACCACCACCTCCACTATCACGAGGAACGGTATGTACGCGCTGGGAGACAGCCTCCCCCCCGCTCGCTCAGCACATGAACTGCACCCCGCCTGTACCGCGCGGCCCGCGAGGGAATGCATGTGATGCGCGCGGTATCCAAGCGCAGGTCTACGTCTTCCGGAGGTGCAGGTTTGGTATGGGGAGGAGAGAGACGCCCCAGCATCGCGACTTCTAACGAAGTAACTAGTCCAGCATCGCCCAGCGGCGCTGGCGGGTACGCAGGTCGGGGGAGGAAGTAGTATGTGTTTCGATCCGTGTATGTCGGCAGGAGTAGCGAGATGGTGCGGGAGTACGAGTGCGACGCGCTGAATGATCACACAAAATCTACGAGAAGAGAGTCAGTATAGTATATGATAAGGAGACGTAGAGGTGGGCGAATAGAAATGAAATCCAAAGAAAATGGGGGAACACGAGCGAGAACAGAGAGAACGCAAAGTACGTGTGCTGGAAAGGCAGGATAAGCGAGATCGAAGTTTAAATCGATGCTCGCAAGAAGAAAAAGCCGAAAAGAATATATGGCAGTGCGACCTGGCACCGGAATGGAAGGACAATGGGCGCGCGCGCGATAGAAACGGTAGACGCGGACAGCATGCAAGAGGGTCGAGTGTGCATGAGGAAAGGCCGAAAACGACACAGAACAGAGACGAAATACGCACCCTGAGAAGCCCGTTTTTGAACAGCCGAACCGTCGGGGAGTACGAGGCGACCTGGAGAGCTAGAAGAAAGAAAGAAGTCAGTCAGAGTGCGTAAGCGGGAGGGATGAGATTACCTTCCTACACAGGCAAGCAGGCATCGACTACCAAGTACTGGTCGTAACATAGGCCGCCCTTCATCGCGTTACTTGATATATTGAGCACCGTGGACACGACCCGCATAGGGACGTTGGCGAAGTTTGCGGTTGGGCTCTGGCGTGAAGGCGGAGCAGGGGCGGGGCGGGTGTACGAAAGGGTAGGAGAGACGCATAGTCTGCGGGGGCACAAGAGCACGAAAGTTGGTCCAAGGCCCTCATCGTCCGAGAGGTCGTGGACCCAGCGACAGGGTGCAAAGGCGGTATGTGTACGAGAGCGGAGAGCGCGACATGGAACCGGGAGAACGGCTGGAGACCGAGCATGAGAACGGAGATGTGCATGCATGCGTGAATGAAGGGATGTGTGCCTTTACTCTTCGCGAGACCTCCACGTCTGAAAGGGCAGAAGCGGGTTAGAAAGGGAGGTAGGGGGCGTATAGGACGATGGAGTTACCTTCACGAAGACGGAGCTGCGCACTAGTTAGTTGAGCGCGAGGTAGATGTGGCGGAACGGATAGATGCGGGAAGTGGTGGAGGACGAAGCCGAGGACGACGTCGAGAATGAATGACCATCCGTGCATCGCCCGTGCCGTCCCCTTCGTAATCGTGTAGTGCATCCCGAGTCCGCCTCGCTCGATTCCTGCCACCCCGCAAAGAACGCGAGGTGGATGTGGCGAAAAGGGAGGTGAACGGGCAGTGTGTGGAGGACGGCGCCGAGAATGGATGACCCGCCACGCCTCGCTCCCGATTCCCGCCACCTCGCACAAGCGTCAAGCTTCTTCGGTGGGCGCATCCTGCACGCCCCCACGCCCCATCGACCTCGCGCTTCCACGCCTCGTGGTCCTATTCCCCAGCAAACGTGAGACCACATCGTATCCACCATTCCACCAAAGTGGGGCTCAAAACTTGGTGGGGACAGCGCCGCCGCCCCCCACCCAAGGCCAAGGTCAGGTCCAAAGTGCGATGACGTTCGTACGGCCCCGCCCCCAGATCACCCCCAGTTGGCACCCAGGCTGTTGAGGCGATGAGGGAACCGAGCACGGTCGGCTGCGGGACCTCATCGCATCCACCATTCCACGGACGGCGTCGATCTGCGAAAGTACCCGCCTCCCTCCACCAAAATCCAAGACAAAGTC